CTCTTGTAATAATGGCAGCTACCACAAACTATCTCAAACTTTGCACATTTATCTATTAGCCACGAGTTCGAACCCCACTCTGCCCACAGGGGTTTGGGCATTCACGTTGATATCATTGATCCTCACGCAATAGGTGTGCTCCATTGCCAACTGCACGGATTCTTATGTGGATACTGGGTAAAATTCCTTTTAGATAACACGGTCTCTTACCTAATTACACTATCTCAACACTATTCGTTAGAATATGTAAGACAGCCTCCATATGAATCTGAGACCTGGTTAGCTGATGAGGTCAGTGAATCTCTACTAATAATCTGTTAGTTGCTGGTTCGAACGCTGCAACCATTACAGTTTTTACCCAATTTCAGGCATAATCCATATATTATGGTGATAGTTAACAGTGGTGTATTACATTTAACTTCAGAATCAACTCGTTACCAATGAAAATCAACCAGCTTCACACTTCACAGACATCCATCATTCTGTATGTTGAAATTAATTCCAAAATTTCATGTATCGTTATCCAGAAGAGGAAAGATGCTTGAACTTCCTGAGGGAATTCCTCTGCTATTTGGATCAACTAACAGTGCTACTATGATACAAATTAACCCACAATATATTACTAATTGACTGCAGTTGGTAACATCAGTCAGTGGAATTATCGTCAACAGATTAAACGTAAATATGCTTCAGATGTAACCTGACAGTTTTCAAATCACAGGAAGTGATAAATGCATATTACTGAGTCCCAAGGTTTTATAATCGTTGTTCTGTTCAGCTTACCTCATTTCTGATTAAAAATCAACCTCTCGTATTTCTAAACGCCTTTAATTCACTACCTGGAGTGCAACCACACTACTTGCATTTGTTAGGTTAGATAGATATTAGTCCATATATTATCGTAATTATTTGTTTTAAAAAAAATATTAACAGTAGGCCTGTAGTGAATTCATTTCAGTAAACAAGCCAAACACACGAGAATTGAAGGCGAAGCGTTTAGAAATATGATTGATACTGTTGACCTTTTAATGGTCCAACCATCCATTATGATATTGTTTGGCTAATCTATTCATAAACAATCTCATTCCAATTTTTCTAAAAGGTAGTGAAGTGCAGTGTAGTAAATATGCGTTTTTTCTAGTCCTATGTTTATTCCTACGCGTATATATGGCATTGGCATGAATTTTAAATGTTCAGGATTTCTTCTATTTTGCTTCTGGAACACATTTCGAAATTGATATCTCTCTACTCAGCAGTTTTTATACTGGTTGAGCAATCAACTTATGTTTTTTCTCCTTTCAGATTATAGTATCGCCGGTTGAGTGAACTACTCTCATGAAAATTATCCATACTGTTAGTTGGACGGAGGGAATCAGCAGGAAGCCTGACGATGCCACTGCATCACAACCATAAGTCTTCTAGCTTCGTGGCCATACTGCCAAATGATCAATAGAATCCGACCAGCTCTAGAGACTAGACAAAATGAGATTGGTTACCCTCCAGTGACCATTCAGTGTACTTACGCTCACTCGCATACTCAATATCCCCTGCAGACTAAAGGAAGACCTGCCAACAAGTGGTCACTGTACTACTTTTGTAAATATCTGAATGAAATCGATACCTAAAAATAAATACTAACTGTCAATGTAAGCTTGAGTCGATGTGATGGTCCAAGAGACAAGTAATCACCTTTATAGATACAAAGTTTTACAGTCCTATCCATTTTCAGTGAATACGAAATGGTCAGTAAATCTTGCTGAAAATTATTGTCATTTATTTGTATTCTTCTTGTTGTCTAACAGCAGAATCTTAAGTGAATCATTTCCATAATTTTTAGGACTTGTCAGCTGGAAACATCCGCATTCCGCCTCAGTTTTGGCACAATAGTAATCCCCATTGCTTTAAATGACACAGAGTCAACCACCAGTTCTCTACGTAACAGCGCTCATGTCATTACAAATGATGCTGATTTTTGACATGTGGTATCTCTAGCCATCAATGCTTTCTGTCGTATAATGACAGGTTAGTAAGTCTTGTATTCCTACACGTTACCCACCTGAGGATCCACTTACGCAGCATATTAATATAACTCAGTGGATTTTTAAAAAATAACTAGTGAAGTCAAACCACTTTAGCTCACAGATTTCAGTGTCCGCTGACAGAGTCTTCAGCTACCCTCAGTATGAGTAATCTATTTGATAGATAACAGAAAAGTCGAAATAGATCAATACTGCGACGACTTCACGACTATTTTGCTCGTCAAATAAATGTAACAACTTTTTTGAGCTTCTAAAAATGGGTGCAATGCTGAAATATTCAGTCGGTTGGCGGGAAACTTCATTCTGTTTATAAAATGACTTACGAACTAATCATTGAACACAACAACAACCTGATAGGCAGTCACTTAAAATCCGTAGTATTATCTATGACTGTGATTTACAGATCTACAATCGTTGCCAGACTTCACATGCTGAAAATAATGGTTGTAAGGCTTCTGTTAGTATTCTTTATGTGGTACTGCAACGAATACCATCGATCACGGACAAATTTCAATAGTGAATCCATAGACCCTGTGGAGAACACTTTTCAGTAGGTTGAAACACTGAAATAGTTGGTTGAGTTGACATGCCATAATTAAAATTAAAGTAAATCTTAGAAGTTTAATTTTTCGACAATGCCAACTACAACTGGTCTAATTCATGATAGCCGTCATTCTTTCCAATTACATATAGCAGTATATTTTCAACCAATTATACCGATGAGCAACTTCAAGTGACAAACTTTCTGATTTCAGTTTTCCCATACTAAAATGAGAAGGTGACTGTTGGTCTACGCCTCACCTTTCTAACGTTAAGTAAGTAAATCATATGAGTAGTAGGGAAACACATGGACAGTGATCTTTGATCTGAACGAGATTTTGGAGAACCTTATGTTAATAATTCACAAACATTTCCTTCTTTGGGAAATAGTGAAATCCCACTCGCTGCAGCATGTTCATATATATACTGGTTTTTCAGTGGTTGGAAAACACGTACGTAAATAATTTTGAATCCACTGGTAGATTTGTTGACAACAGGGGTGAGAATTACTAGTGAATTTTTGAGTTCCACTGAGGTATGTTTATAACTCAGATTTTACAGAATATGCGTATAAAAGTCTGTTCTTTCAACGGGTTGCCCATACACTGATGTTGAGGACATGGTTTTGAGTAATACAATAGGCATTTTCATTTAAAATACTGAACAATTCAACACATCAGTCTGTCAATATCAACTGTAACACATATCATCCTCAAAGTATTTTGCACTCACTAAAAGTAGAAATCCTCGCCTGGTTAACTAGTTTACTAGTTACTAACTGGTCCTAAACCCGGGTAAAGAGGGAAGGTTGGCCATACGCCTAGCAAACCTACCCCGTAAAACAAATCCAATCACTTAACA